GTATGGGGTGATTTAATTCGTATGTGCACTTCTAAGAAAAATTTTACTCAGAATGAAGTATATAATGCAATCTAGGCCACACTTGCTTGTGTGGTAAAAGATAAACGAACATGGATTCTTAAACACAGAAAACCGGATGGTAGATTATACTTTGGCATGGCACCTACTCTTGATTTCGGTAAAATAACTATTAATATAGTAGAACTTGGAGGAGAACTAATAAAATTGATCTCTTTGATAGATCATATATATGACAGCAAGGCGATTATTTATAATGATATTGATTTCTTACCATATCCACCTAATATCGAACAACCAAAAAATGAATTCTTTAATCTTTTCTTAGAATAAAAGGCTAAACCAGCATCTCGAATTAATTACGATCTTGTGAACCTGATTATATGGCATATAGAAAATATCTAGTGTAATGGAAATAAAGTTCTTTCTATATATGTTCTCAAATGGTTAGCATTTTTAGTTTAGTATCCAGCAATAATTCCAGGTACAATTCTTGTTTTGCGTTCACCGCCACGATGTGAGAAAAATATTATTACTGATTTTATTTGAAAAAGTTTATTCAGTCCAGAGCTTGTATATTCAACATCCGATTTAGGCAAAATTTTGGAAAAATTCAACAGTAGTATTCAAGGACGTAATCTTATAATTATGAATGAAGCAGGAATATTAAGTAGAGAATAGCATAAGTCAAATGATCACTTAAAATCTCTAATTACAGAAGATTACGTCTTAATTGAGCATAAAGGTCTCAAAAATCAAGAATGTGGTCATTTTCCCGGATTTATAGTATTAAGTAATCATGACGCCCCAATCCGTGTTGAGCAAGGAGATGGTCGTATTGTATGTTTAGATGTTTCACCTCGATATAAAGGTAATTTTAAATATTTTGGTCAGTTGGGAAAAATTCTCAACCATCCTGATACACCTAGATCTTTTATGAGCTATTTACTTAATCAAGACCTTTTGAATTAGAATCCACAAGAAAATATTCCTACCACTAAAATGAAAACAGAGACGATGCGTAAGCATCTTCCAAATCCCATCTGATTCATAATTGATCATATTTCGGTATAGTCAGAAGATCAAATTGAAAAACTGGGTTGTGCTATGTTATATTAGGAGTATCGTACATGATGTGAAGCTAATGGTAAAAAGCCATTCAGTAATAATAATTTTGGGAAAAAAATCCCACAAGTTAACATTGAATGAAAACATGCTGGTGGTGGAAAAAGAGAATGGCAGTATATCCTCAATCGTTCTAAAATCGTGGCCAAGCTACGTGAATCAGTAGGTGATATCGAGGAATTTTCTGACATACCTCAACCTGAGACACTCACCAACAAATCCACAGATATCCCTGTATTCAATGTCCCAGAAATCATAACCTCTGAACCAAAAAAAATAGAACCTATCCCATTACCCACAAATCGCATCAGAAAAGATAAGGATTCATCACCCGTCCCACCCATTACTAACATGACCCAGGCTCTCTTTGATTTTATAATAGATTAGCCAGAATCTTTAGTTGCTTCATCGTCCAAGTCTACCAATATATCTCTACCATCTGAGATCGAGTACGTAGAACCTGTGAACAATAGACCTAAATCACCAGAAATTATCGAGGAATCAGAGATTATCAAATCTGTGGAAAATGATTCCAAGATATCTCCTGTCTTATCTACGAATAACGAACCAAAAACCAGTAATAAAGTATCTCTCCAGCAGATGTCATATCCGCTAGGATATCAAACCAGGGAGCAACGAGAGGTACATTTTCGTGAGAAAGCTATCGAACTTGGTAAAGATCCTGACAAATTCGTTACTATTACTGAAAAAGATAAGCTCGATTCTGTCGCATTTCATGACAGAATGCAGACTGATGCGAGAATATGTAGTTTTGCAAAGGAGGCCGAAGAAGACCCCAGTGAATATACGGATATGACAGTGTGAGAAAGACTAATAAGCGAAGAAATAATCCGTCGTTCTCTCGAAGAAGATGGAATCACCTCATCATGGCTGGATACTGATAAGGAATAGAAAAAAACAGTGAGCATACTCCAGGCAAATGGTATGCTATGGTAAGTCTGCGAAGCAGAAGATGCTTTGCATCCTATATATATATAAAATAAGGAGTGAATAGGTGAATTTTGCAGGTAGAAGCTTCGATATAGAGGGATTTTTTGCTCCTACAAACTAGATAATATAAAAATTTTCAATAAAAATATTACAAAAACAATATGTTCTCATGCTCTATATATATCGTAAACAAAATGAGCGATCAAGAATTAGAAACTCCAGAAAAAGTATTTAATCTATTAACTGACCGGATGATAAATCTGAATGGACCAACATTCCGTAAATTAATCTGCAATGGATATAGACATGTTAGTGATTTATCGAATTACTCAGAAATATCTGAACATATTGATTATGGTTGTTCTGATCACACAGCCTTCTTATTTAATATATAGAAGCCGGCAGTAATACCACCTGAAATATTACAAAACAGACCGGACATATATCGCAAATATCTTATAACTGTTGAATCATGGCAGAATTTATTTGGATAGATGTACTAAATAATAGAAAAATGAATAATAAACCTTAATATAACCTGGACCTCTATCTCTAGAGCTATATTTTTTTCATTATATCTCATATAATAGTAAATTTCAAATCGACGTAGCGGTTACTCTATAGGTAGACATAAACTCTCTTTTATTATGGAATAATGGCACTTACATGCCTCTGAGTATAGGAAGAAAAAGCATAATTAATTTTGATTTGAAAAAATATTTTATATAGTGTATATAACCTACTCAACCTACTATAGCATTAGATAATGTTGGCTATTGCTACAAAAATTGTTGAAAAATACAAACTCACCCCGAAGATGAATATATCCAAGCTTAGTCAATATACCTCTGAGTTTCTTGAGAATCTTACTGATGATAGAAAGTGAAATCAAGCTTGACGATGTCTTCGAGATGATTTTAAATTTAGCAGTGAACAGGTAGGTATATTGATACCTAATCAGAGAAGTGGGAAAAATAAAACTATAAATTTGGTTGAAGGTAATTATAGAATAGCTATAACCAAGTTTCCAAAAAGTTTAGAAGAAGAGATCATCAGAGAGAAAGCAAAACGAATCTTGCAAAATAGATATGGGTTTAGTGAAGATCAAGTAAATGCCTTATTCACAATCCTAAAAAACAAAAGTAGACACAGTGTAACTACCTCAGATAAAAACGTAAATATTGTAATCGCCAATCAACTCTCTAAAGGAATAGAGGAAGAAACAATTGGGGATATGGTGCAACGGATTTTACAGGATAAACTTAGTATTAGAGATGTAAGAGCTGAAGCTTATGCCTTAGCCCTATCAGCAAAAAATGCTAATGCTGGCTTATCACATCTCACTCGTCTTCGTAGAGAAATAAGGAACCTTAATGCATCACTTGAGATAATTGAGGTTACAAAATTTCCAGATATTACAGAAGATGCCAACAAAATCCAGAGTGTCAATCGAAAAAAAGCTGAAGCTAAACGTATTGATTATCCAGATGAATTTACATTAGAATCAGTCAAAGAAAGATTAGATGCGTATGATATTAAAACTTTACCTGATTGTCAGGCTCTTGCTGATGTTATGGTGATGCTTTGTATTCATCCTGCTGAACTTAAAACTTTACGCATTACAGATGCTGGAGTGACAGGATATGCGAAGAATCGAGGTCAGCCAGATATTCCCAGAAAATTTAGATCGATAGAAAAGAATCAAGAATGAGCCAAAGAACTACTCACTTGGATTCAGCGTACTATATCATCTGAACGAATGGGTGATCCAGGTAAGCCAGGAGTTAAATAGTTCAATAAATTCTTAAAAGATTATGATTTAATTCCTAAATATTTACGTAAATTAGAAGCAGTTTACGGTGCAGTAGCACATGGGGCTAAGAATATGGCCCACGCTTATACAATTGCTGGAGAATATCTACGTCATTTATCTGATAATCATACTTCTCCTGTGCAAAATTACGTTGTAGTCAATTATAGAAAAAGAGGCGTTCCTTATAAGCAAGCAAGACGATTTCATATCTATAATCAAGATTAATTGCGCTTCTTCACTTTTATCATATCTACAGTAAAATCTTTATTATCATAAGAGGATTCAAAGCCGGACCCAGATTCAGATTCAGACGAGGACTCAGTTGCAGTATTGTTAAAAATTGTTTTTTTTCTTTTAGCCTCAAATAGTGTACGATTTCTCTGAGAAATATCCGGATTTGCTATTAAGTTTATAATATCTTGCTGAATCCCAGGTTTCACTATCTCCAGTAATTGGCAGAGAGAAATCTAGATTTTTTTACCCAATACTTGCTTAATAATATCAGATACCACTTTATCAGTAATGTTGAGTAAACTTTTATCTTTTTCGAAACCCAATTTTTTTACAATCTTATAAGTGATAATTGGATATTCTAAACATAAATCAATCATATCCTGTTGCTTTAGCACTAATTCAATATTATTATTTTCAGTCATTGTCTAAGTTAAATTATTTATTAATACGCAATAAAAAAATACATCATTAAATATACTTAAAATGTTCATAAATACTCTTGTCGAAGGAAAAATCCCAGTAAAAGTGTTAATTGATACAACATCTAAATATAATACTATTAGCAAACACTTATTCGATAAGCTTGAATCTGATCATGAATTAGAAGGTATAGTTGGTGATGATCTGATAGGTGAAGAAATAAAAGGCTTAGATTTACAGTTTCGCATTAAAAGAAAGTGGCAAAGTTTAGGTGATACTGAACTAATAGACTTTCAAATTCACAAAAATCCATCATTCAATCTGGTGTTGAGGCAAGATTGGTTATGGATGCATGAAGCAAAAATAAGCTTTAGACATTCTCCCAAAACCTGTGTCTGCTATGCTAAAATTGTAATAGATAGTATGAGCATCCCGTTATTCGATGAAGATTTTAACAAAGCCAGCTCTACTAAAAATAATTTATCTAAATCAACATAATCTAAACCTGGGCTAGCTCAAGAGGAGGTTATGAATATAATTAACAAAATTCTCTCAAATATTGGAGATAGACCCAAAGGGTTATTGCTTTGCACTGATAAGCAACGAATATTTTGCAACATACCTCCTACACATCTACTATCAAGAAGATTAAATGACAATGTTTCCAAAAATAAGTGTAAGAAAAATAAGGTCAAATATTCCACAGATGCTTCTTCTAATTCAGATACTTCAGACAGTGATTCAAGTAATTCTTCCACGTCTAGTTTAAAAATAGAAGTTACACATGCGCATAAGACTAGAGCAGTAAAGAAACGCCCTATTCGAAAGCGTAAAATAAAAGGTAAAGTTAATTATCGAGATTAACTCGTAGAGTAAGGATGCTAACAGATCTAATCCATATGTATAATAAATTATTGGAGCATAACTACATCGTAACTTCGAAATCACATGATGTTATAGGGCAAAGCCCATTGCAAAGCAATAATGAGCCTTAGTGGAGCGATATCATGTGTTTTATTTTAAAAAAATGGCTCTTTAAGCCTAAATCCACGAATCAGAGATCAGCATAGAAGTATTTCGGTACTAACCAACTCACTAACCGCACCTATTGCAGAGCAATGACCCTTTTGGTCTACCTTTAAGCTAAATTATTTATCCATGATTGCCAGCAAAGATCGAGCGATGATCCTTTGGATCGAGTCTTTGACTCTCCTGGCCCATACTAAATAATTCGTGAATGAACGGATTGCTAAACCTGAAATTAGTTTAATGAAATCTGCAAATTAAGTTTGTTAGTCTCTAAACATTTAATGTATAAAAATAAGCAAATGATTAATTTCAACACTTATCTGTCTATAATCCTTAATACCGTATACCAACTCTTTTAATTATAAAAAATTTTACCTTTGGATATGTCTACTAACCCAACGT